GCAACTAAAAATTGCAGCAATTTGCTGCCTGTTTTGCAGCAAAAAATCGACCTCCAGAGGTCGGAATTTCAACATTACAAAAATAAAAATACCGACCTCCGGAGGTCGGAATTTCAAAAATACAAAAATAAAAATACCGACCTCCGGAGGTCGGAATTTCAACATTACAAAAATAAAAATACCGACCTCCGGAGGTCGGAATTTCAACATTACAAAAATAAAAATACCGACCTCTGGAAGTCGGAATTTCAAAAATACAAAAATAAAAATACCAACCTCTGGAGGTCGGAATTTCAACATTACAAAAATAAAAATACCGACCTCCGGAGGTCGGAATTTCAACATTACAAAAATAAAAATACCGACCTCCGGAGGTCGGAATTTCAACATTACAAAAATAAAAATACCGACCTCCGGAGGTCGGAATTTCAACATTACAAAAATAAAAATACCGACCTCCGGAGGTCGGAATTTCAACATTACAAAAATAAAAATACCGACCTCCAGAGGTCGGAATTTAAAAAAATGAATATTCCGACATAAAATAAAAACCGACCTCGAGAGGTCAGTAAATACCGACCTCCAGAGGTCGGTATTGAATAGCGATCAAGCTTTTTCCAACCTAAGTTCGGATGTCGGTTTTAGGTCGATATTTCAGGGAATACCAACCTCCGGAGGTCGGTATTTATAGGTCGGTATTCACTGTTTTTTTAGTAGTGATAGAAATAAGAATCTTGAGAGTAACTCAAATAACAAGTTGTACTATCACATATTTACTATTTGGTAACATTGTGAGGACATTTCTTTTAAAAATCCATAACTAAATTTTACTTTTTCACTTATCATTGATCTTTATGTTTTTGTCATATGCCTCAAAATTTTCATATTTTATTTACCAAAATAGTCAAATCTCAGGGTCGGATTTTGGAACAGTCATCGAGGTCTTGTCCTAGTCTAGGTGTCAGGGTCGGGTCCTATATCAATTATCAGGATTAATTTTTTGATCATAAATTATTTTTCTAAAAAGTATTTTTTTAGTCTCATGCCAAAAATAAAAATTTATCAACACTACTTATAAGTTAAATAATTCAGAAAAGTTGATATTTTCTTCATTTCAAAATAATTGTTGTTTTATGAAATTATTTTTGCCTCAAAACAAGTTGTTGTTTTTTAAATCTTATACTCAACTATTTTGTGGTTTCACGATCCATAAAATAAATGGATAATTGCTAGCGAAACTCAAGAGAAGAAAGTTAGAAATAGAACGTGGGTTAAGGGGAGTTGGGTTCATCTTCGGATGGATTAGCGGCTAAAATGACAATGTATCTAGTTGCCCACTTGGATTAGATACATGAAGATATATAAATGTATTTAGATTGATTATCATATCCCTGCTCAATTAGGTAGGTGTGATCAGGTCAATTTGGAAAAAAATGTTAGAGGCTAGAGACCATGAACATATTATCAATCCCGTAATTCAGCAATCATTATATATCTTACATATGCTTAACAACTATAATTAAATAGGATAGAATTACACAAACGGCTGACGCAACTGTATGTCTTAATCTCTCTGTGAACAACTTTTGCTACTCAATCTTCTTTACTATTTATTTTTTTTGTCGAATTCATAAATAGAATAAATCATCAAAATAAACTCTCTAAAACTAAACAACACTAATTCTAATAAGTAAAATAATGAAATTGATAACTTTTCAGTAATTAAGTCGTTATGAAATTGATAAATCAAATTGTACAAGTATTCACCTATTACTTGCGATCACATACACTTGTGTGTGCTAAAAAGACAACACAAAACATTTTCTTTGGTTGAAGTATTCTATTTGTCGCCTATAAATAATGAACTTATTCATTTATAAAAGTTGGATTTTTGATATACAAGGCATTATATTAACATTCTAAGTTTTTTTTTCTCATTAGTTTCTCTTCTATGGCAGATCCACAAAGAATAATACTCACACCGGAATCTCTGATCTAATAAATCTCTAATTTGTAATTGAAATCAATCCATATGTTCTTAACCTCAGAATAAATGTAATTGAAATCAATCCATATGTTCTTAACCTCAGAATAAATTCAATTGTATCGTTTTTTTTCAAATAAACAATACTCATATTCATAAATTCCTCCATAACTAATTATGTAGGAATCGAAATTCCTCAAATAAGTAATTTTTTTAAATTTATTTACTTGTATTGAATATGTAATTAAAATCAAATTGTCATTAAAGAATCTGTGTATAATCTAAATAAATAATACAAGGGGTGGGGTGGGGGGGGGGATAGGGAATAGTGGATTTGGAATGAAAATAAGGTGTGTTAAGAGAGTGGGGAGTGGCACAAGCAACGTGGAACAACACTGGTGGAACTTGCTTTCCCTACTTTTATTAGAGAAATTATTTTCCTTATTTTAAAAATATAATATCTTAGAGAATAAGTTTTTCAAAAAATTTAATCAATCGAACATGAAAATATTAAAAAAAATATATATATATTTTCCCTTAAACGGTACACACCCTGAATCAATGAAACACCTAAAAAGTAAAAAATATTTCTAGAGAAAAAAAATACAAAATTCACAAGATTGGGCCTAATTATGTGCCATTTTTAGTTTTCAAAATTATGTTCTGCATCATATTTATTTTGTCAGATACATGTATTTCGAATGCATACAGGTTAAATTAGGTGTAATTTGTTCTAGATACACCATATCTAATCGTGATTCACATGTATCTAGGATACACACTTACTCTCTCGCTCACCTTTATCCCTATGTATTTGTATTTTAGAATGTATCTAGTATCAAAAGATATATGTTGATTCTCTCGCTCGGCTCTCTCCATGTGTATTTGTATTTCAAAATGTATCTAGTGTCTTTGATATATGTATTTGACTTGAAATATGAAAGAATGGTGTATCAATCTAGTACCAAATTATAAAATTAGTGAGAGACAATATGTAATTTTTTCAAATTATACAGTGGATTCATATTTATGCATGGTTACAATATTTGTGTAATTAGGTAGTTTTTCCTTATTTCTAATGTCATTTTTGAATTGAAAATTAAAGTTTAAACAAACATCGTGTCTTGGATAGATTTTAGAATAATAGTGTATCGACAAGAACCAATTCAAGAAGTGGTGCAATGGATAGGGCTGCTCCTCCCTTAATCAAAAGTCTCGAGTTTGAGTTTTGGACACATATCGAACATCGGACGAAAAAAACAAATTCAAGATGGCATACACTAAATAAAATAAAAATAGCAACGAGTTAGTTGTAATCATTTGTTTGGTTGGTTTCCTCTATTTGCAGAAGATAACCAAAAGTCAAAAGATTTTCTAGAATTTGGAGCTATAACTTGAAAAAAACAAATTCATATGTAAAATGCAAATACAAAACAATGATACATGATCTTGACGAATTCATGGTCTACCGACTACCATGAACTAAACCCATAGTTTAGTAGGAATCTATTTCACAATAATTAAGATGAGATTCTATATGCTTAGTGTGTTTTTTTCAAAAATCATTTGGCCAGTTTGTACATGTTTTTTTTTTAGCCAGTTTTTTATTCTCTTGCTATATAAAGAGCTAATTCTTCCACCAATGTTGCAAAAACAACAGACTAGTTTAGTTCCAGTATGGGAACACCATCAAAGTTGAGGCAATGGCCACTTCTTGTTTATGCTTTCGCCTCTTGCTTGAGAGTCATTAGTGTAGCAGCTGATTATAAGCCCCACATTGATGATTCATCATCTTTGTCATACCGTTATAGGCCACGATAGCCTCCACCACCTCCTCCACGACATCATTACTATTATAAATCACCCTGCCCCCTCCTCCACGACGTCGTTACTACTATAAATCACCTCCTCCACGACGTTGTTACAATTATAAATCGCCTCCGCCACCTCCTCCGCGACGTCATCACTATTATAAATCACCTCCACCACCGCCTCCGCGACGTCATCACTATTATAAATCACCTCCACCACCGCCTTCTCCATCTCCACCGCCACCTTATTACCATAATCCACCACCACCGCCTTCTCCATCTCCATCTCCATTGCCATCACCACCATTGATTGCACCAATCGACTGACCATCTCCATCTCCATTTCCATCACCATCATTGATTGCACCTACCGATGGACTATCTCCATCTCCATCTCTGTTGTCATCACCGCCATTGATTGCACCTATAGATGGACCATCTCCATCTCCATCTCCATTTCCATCACAACCATTGATTGAACCTACCAATGGACCATCTCCATCTCCATCTCCGTTGCCATCACCACCATTGATTGCACCTACGGATGGACCATAACTGTTGCCATCACCACCATTGATTGCACCTACCGATGGACCATCTCCATCTCTGTTGCAATCACCACCATTGATTCCACCTACCAATGAACCATCTCCATCTCCGTTGCCATCCCCACCATTAATTGCACCTACGTACCAATGGACCATCTCCATCTCCAACATCACCATTGATTGCACCTACCGATGGACCATCTCCATCTCCGTTGCCATCACTACCATTGATTGCACCTACCGATGACCATCTCCATTGCGACCACCACCATTAATTTCACCTATCGATGGACCATCTCCATTGCTATCACCACCATTGACTACACCTACCGATAGACCATTTCCATTTCCGTCTGTGTCTCCACTATATCTCCGTCTCCATCTCCACCACCTCCAATAAAGACCCCCGTTCCTCCACTAATACCTCCACTTCCACCATGCTATAATAAATATCCTCCCCCACCATCTTTATTCCCTTTTCCACTACCATATCCCTTTAATCGACCTCCACCTCCACCAATAAACTATAGATCTCCTCCACCACCTCCAATAGACTACCCGCCTCCACCTTCCCCTTGCAATAATAGATCTCCTCCCCACCATCTTTATTCCCTTTTCCAATACCATTTCCCTGGAGAGGAACTCCACCTCCACCACCTAATTGCACTCCTCCACCACCTCTAATAAACTCCCCCCTCCTCCATCGCCATCTCCACCTCCACCACCTTCTCCACCTCCACCACCCCCAGTAAAGTCCCCACCTCCTCCGTCACCATCTCCACCTCCACCACCTTCTCCATCCCAACCACCTCCTCCATTGCCTTCGCCATCTCCACCTCCACCTCCGCCTCCGCCTCCGCCTTGCAATAATAAATCTCCTCCCCTACCATCTTTATTCCCTTTTCCAATACCATTTCCCTGGAGGCGAACTCCACCTCCGCCACCTAATTGTACTCTTTCACCACCTCTGATAAACTCCCCCCTCCTCCATCACCTTTCCCACCTCCACCATCTTCTCCATCTCCACTACCTCCAGTTAAATCTCCACCTCTTCCATCTACACCTCCACCACTTTCTCCATCTCCACCACCTCTAGTTAAGTCCCCGCCTCCTTCATCACCAACTCCACCACCTCCTGTTAAATCTCCGCCTCATCCATCGCCATCTTCACCTCCACCACCTTTTCCATCTCTACCACCTCCAGTTAAGTCCCCGCATCCTCCATTGCCATCTCCACCAACTCCCGTTAAGGGCCCTCCTTCTCCATCGCCATCTCCACCACCTCTCGTTAAGACCCCTCCTCCTCCATCGCCATCTCCACCACCTCCAGTTAAGTCCCCACCTCCTCCATCGCCATCTCCACCACCTCCTGTTAAGTACCCTCATCCCCCTTCGCCATCTCCACCTCCACCACCTTCTCCATCTCTACCACTTCCAGTTAAGTCTCCACCTCCACCATTCTCCATCTTCACCACCTCTAGTTAAGTCCCCGCCTCTTCCGTCACCATCTCCACCACCTCCAGTTAAGTCCTCGCCTCCTCCATCGCCATATCCACCACCTCATTTTAAGTCCCCGCCTCCTCCATCTCCATCTCCACCACCTCATGTTAAGTCCCCGCCCCCTCCATCGCCATCTCCACCACCTCCAGTTAAGTCTCCGCCTCCTCCATCGCCATCTCCACCTCCACCACCTTCTCTATCTCCACCACCTCCAGTTAAGTCTCCGCCTCCTCCATCGCCATCTCCACCTCCACCACCTTCTCCATCTCCACCACCTCCAGTTAAGTCCCTGTCTCCTCCATCGCCATCTCCACCACTTCCTGTTAAGTCCCATCCTCCTCCATCACCATCTCCACCTCCACCACCTTCTCCATCTCCACCACCTCCGGTTAAGTCTCTGCCTCCTCCATTGCCATCTCCACCTCCACCATCTCTAGTTAAGTCCCCACCTCTTCCATTTCAAATAATTATTCCACGATTTCCCCAACTACCTCCATTACCAATAATTCTTTCACCATTGCCACGACTACCTCCACTCTCAATTCCTCCATTTCCACGACTACCTCCACTCTCAATTCATCCATTTCCATGACTACCTCCATTCCCATTTCTTCCATTTCCCATTGATCGACAACCCTAGCACTACAACTCACCTCCATTACCATTGAAATATCATGGTTGTCATTACACATCTTCTCCTTCTCCTTCAACACTAAAACATGTTTGACTTTACAATAATTGTATGATATTGCATCTTGTCTCTATTGAACTGTGTAATCAATTGGTGTTTCTCTTTTGAGAGATTTTCTTATTTAGTGTATTTTATAAATAAAAAGGATTCGAATGAAATTCGGCTTAAGTTGTTTATTTTGCAATCATAGTATTCTCTACTTCCTATTTTAGTGAACACTATATGACTAGCCTTGTATGTTAATCTGAGTTGTACATTTATCAGTAGTAGGGTAACATACTATCAACTTATAGTTGAAAAGTTATTTTGAAAATAAAATAAATAATATTATTATTATTTTAATTCAAATATCTTCTAAATATTTCACCCAAAGATTACCATCTATCTATTATTATAAATTAATAATGTGTTCAAAAAAATGGAGAAGTACACATACATTTCAAACTATAAACCCTTAGAATTTTATATCATAAAATTTTATTGGTAAAAGGGATTCTACAGTTTTGAAATAGGAAAATTTATAAGTTTCTTTTGTTATTAAAGTCAATCCTACACTTCGTACACATGTCGTTAGAGGGCTTTGCCAATGACTCCTACCTTGAATATTATCGTTAAAAAAAAATGCATATAAGAAGAAGACTTTGCCTCCCCATCGCTAGAGCTCATCTTATACAGGGTCATGTGAGTAGGATATATGGAAACCAAACGACTAATATAGGAAGACGACTCATCTTCCTATTTACATTCACCAATTTATAAATGAACTGAGGTACATCAAAAGATTTAAAAAAGTTGGACGTAATTTTCCTTTTAACACTTCTTTCAATTGTTGTGGTATGGTGCCTTGTGGTGAATAGACATCCCTTATTTTTCCATTATGTGTGCTTCAAAAGATGATGTAGAAAATAAAAAGGAGCTATTATGCTTATTCATTTCTAGCCTTGCCGAATCATCCGCTACTTTATTTTCCTCTCTTAGGCGGTGAGTAGCTTTTAGATTAACTTGTTTAATCGACTAATAACCCTAGCCTTTAACTTTCCAAACATCACACGAAATAAATCATCAATTTACTTCAATCAGTGAACTCAACAAATACCAATAATTCAAATCTTTAACTAATCAAACTTCAATATTCAATAATATAACTCTGTTACACCTCAAAATTCGGAAAAGAAAAAGAAGGCCAAAAGATGGTTGTTGGTTCAAGTCCACAAGACCAGTCTATGGTTCGTAAAATGTTCTACGGTTCGTAAAATGTCCTACGGGCCGTAAAAAGGTCTCGTCGAAAGTTGGCAGATTTTATGGTTCCAATATTTGGTCTACGGTTGACCAGTATGGTCCGTAGAAAGTCCTACAGACAGTAGGTCGGTTCCATAGACTGCGTCTGATAGTTATTTTTAAAGGGTATATAGGTCTTTTCCTACGTGCTTAAAGCCTAAGCTATGACTTTTTACCCCCATTCCTAGCCCTATAAAGGTTTTCAAGCCCTAAAACTACCCACTCTAAATATTCCCCTAATTGCCAAAATCCCAACCAAATTCATCTCTTCAGATTCTCTCCAAGACTCATAAGGGATTCTAGGGTTTTTCAAGTTCAAGTCTCCTTTCTTCATAAATTTCTTAGGGCTTCAAGATCAAGGTATGTAGAGAGTTCATCAATGGGTTCCATTCACCCATTGAGTCCTGAAGATTCTCAAATTCTCCAATTTAATTTCCCTAAATTGTTTATGTTTCTATTCAATTCCTCAAGGGTTATATTTATATGAATTCATTTGGTTGATGTTGATCATATTATAATTATTTTGACTTAATTACATGCTTTTCAATAAATAACACATGAACCCCCATGCATGATACATGATTTTGACTATGAACCCTAAGATGAACATTGATTAATTATGATAGGTTTCCTCACCTTAAGAGATCATGGTTTGGAATAGGTGCAATGACATGGTCACCTTATGGTTGTTCAATTCTTTTTCTAAGGACATTTCTCACTCTGTCATCTATTCCAAAACTACCAAAGATTTATGGACAGATCTAGAACAAATATTTGGGCAATCAAATGGGGAAGTTGTATCACCTACAAAGAGATGGTTGGATTAGTGTAGGGATATAGTGATATTGCAGGTTATTTCACTAAGCTAAAAAGATAATGGGATAATTTAGATTTTCTAAACTAAAAATGTCTTAAGTCTATTGAGGATCAAAAACTCATTCAATTTCTTATGGGCTTGAATGATATATGTGCACAAGCAAGAGGGAACATCTTGATGTTGAATCCTATGCCATGAATTAATCAAGCCTATTCTCTTACTCCAAGATGAAAATCAAAGGGAAGTCTATGTAAATCCTCAAATTCCTTCTTACAATTCCTTTTTATGAAAGGAAACTACAATACACAATAAAAAATTGTTAACCAAATGTAGAGATTTGGTAATCAAACTTAGCCAACAAAATTTAAAAATCAGGTTCAAGAACAAAGGCTTTCTGTCAACAATCTAAGAATCAATCCAACACAAAAGACTGGAAAAGTAAGAAGGAAGAAATTTTATCCTAATGTGACTTGTTCTTATTGTCTTAAAGTTGGGAAAATAGCAGAAGACTGTTACAGATTGATTAGGTATCCATATAATTTCCAATTCACAAAGGGGATTTCAACACCAATTAGAGGAAATGCAACAGTAACTAATGAAGAATGTGAGAACAATGACTTTGATGAAAACTTTATGAATCAACTAAGCAAGATTCAGACTTTCCAAATCAAACAAATTCTTAAATTAGCACAATCTAATGGGGGAAGGAAGTAACAACTCGAAGATTACTGCAAATGTTGTAGTCGGTACAATCACTAAGTACTCTGGATCTTGTTTTTCCATCTATAATTCTAAAACCTAGATTATAGATTCAGGGCCTTCAGAACACATGTGTTTTGAATAATCTTCTTTAATAGATCTTATTCCTTTCTCTATCCCAGTTACTATATATTTTTCTAACTCTTGCAAAAACCAAGTCACACACACCGATAGAATTGCAATTTTTCCTAATTTTATCCTACAAAATGTTCTTTTTGTTCCCTCTTTCAAATGTAATATGTTATATGTTCATATATTTTGTAGATAAGTTTATATATTCTTTTTTATTTAATCTTGAAAGATATGTCATGCAGGGTCTTTCAATGAGGAGGGAACAAACTTAATTTGGTGAAGCTAGGTATGGTCCTTACCTACTAAAGCTAGTCATTCCTAGTCGTAGTAATCTGCCTAAGTGCAATATAGCTTCTTTTCAAGAAGGAATTATTTACAAGTCATTTTTGGTTTATTTTTCTTTTTCTGGTAGTATAAATTCAAATGTATCCCTTCGACATGCTAGACTAGGGAATTTTCCATTTTCAAGAATGAATCATTTCAATTTTATTTCTCTTCCTCCTAATTATGATTGTGTTTGTGACATTTGTTCTCTTGCAAGATAGACCAGATTAACCTTCGCCAAAAGTCAAATTGCTTTTAAAAGACTATTTGAAATAATCCATATATACACTTGGGGACCTTTCAAAGTTCCTACTTATAATGGATATAAATATTTTCTTACCATAGTTGACGATTTCAGTAGGGGAACCTGGAATTTCTTATAAACTATGAAAAGTAATGCATTCTCAGTTTTAAAAGATTTTTTGATGATGATTGAAAGACAATTTAATCTTAAAGTTTAGAAGATAAGGTCAGATAATGCATTTAAGTTTGGAAAAGGGATCCAAGAGGCAATATTCTTGAAGTCCCAAGGAACAATCTATCATACTTCTTGTGTTGCTACCTCTCAACAAATGAGATAGTTGAGAGGAAGCATAGACATCTATTAGAAGTGGCCAGGGCACTTCTTTTTCAATCATACCTTCCCAAATCCTACTAGGAAGAATGTATCTTGACTGCTACACACTTGATTAACATAATACCTACGAGAGTTTTTAGTGGAAAAACTCCCTATAAACAACATTTTTCTAAGATTCCATATTATAAGCTCGTAAGAACTTTTGGATGTCTATGTTGTACATCTACTTTAAAATGAATAGGATTAAATTTGATCCTAGGACAAGTACTTGTGTTTTCTAGGGATATCCATAGGGACATAAAGGTTATAAACTCCTCAATATTGCAACCAGAAAGGTTATTGTTTCTAGAGATGTGAATATTTTTTGAATGTCTTTCCATTTTCCAATATAGACCCTATCTCAGAACCTAATTTTCCTAATCCTAACCAAGGTATTTTTGATGATCCTACTACCCCTACTACTATTTCTATGACCAACCCTTTACGTACCCTCTACCTCGAACCCATATACCACTCATAATCCTCTTTTCTGTAGTACTTCCCCCTTCCAATCAGAATGCTAGAAGATCCACCAGAGAAATCAAAAACCCTGATTTTTTAAAGTGATTTCATTTGTAATCATGTACTTTTTACTAATGTTTCAAATGCATGTTTTGCTCAACCAACATACGCTTCTTCCTTTTCATTTGGAGCTTTATCACTATAGAATCAACATTTGGTTTTATAAGCGTTATTTTTTAGCCAACCAGTTTTAAACAAGCCTATTCAGATCCTAATTTGTCATGATTCAGGGGTACACCCTAGACGTAACATGACATACAAGATCTCGAGAGGCCTCATATAATCCACGTAGCTTTCATAACATAAGATAATAGAAAGTGAGTGGAAATTTAAAACATTTTCAACAACATCAAAGTTTTATAACAAAAGCGGAAGTCTATTACACTTTGTCTCAAAACCATCTAAAGCATGGATATCTTGGGACACAACCCATACAACAATGTTCAAAACTTAAAACAAAAGAACATAAGAGAAATGGTGACTGAATCCTCAAATGCTATGAAGACTCACCAATCTTCAAGTCTTGCCTCTACTAAGATCCTAGC